TCTCAGCCAATTCGTTTCATCCTCCATTGTTGGAAACCAGAAAACACAGAGAGAGAGAGAGAGAGAGAGAGAGAGAGGGAGAGATGAGGAAACACACAAAGAGAGCGAAAGGGTTTCTCTCTTTCTTTTTGGTGCTTCTTTGGTGTGTCTCGTATTTTGGTTATACGAATGCCGGAGAAAGAGGGAATGAAATGTTAAAAAGGCGATTTTTTTCCTCTCTTTTTTGCAGCTTTTAATTCGTCTTTAATTAAATGTTTTTTTTTTTCGAGTTTGGTTTCTCCTTATCTTGTTTCTTTTTGGACTATTTGCTTCTGAGCTATTCGAGCTTTTGAGAGAGAGAGAGAGAGAGAGAGAGAGAGAGAGAGAGAGGCAAAGCCAACGGCGTAGGGGCCGCCATTGGAGATCATCAAAGGGTCAACGAAGGAAGGAGGGTTTCTATATTAAAATGATAATATAATAAAACTAGAGTTTGTTCCACATAACTAATTCAGATTTTTTTTTTCCTCGATTCATATGATTGTGATTGTAATAGGATTTATTCTTGTTTTTTTTTTGGGGTTCAAATAGAAATTGTCGTTAAGCACATTCGATCAGAATTTAGTTTGTTTTTTTTTATGTGTTTGTTCCACGTAATTAACTCTCTTGTAATACTTTAACCAAAAAAAAAAACTCTCTTGTAATAATATAACGATTAATTGTTGCAGACGGCAAATTTCATAGTTTTTGTCGTTTTCTTTGTTGGTGTGTGCATATGCTGAAATTAAATGTGCAAGAGCGATACATACATATATATATATATATATAATCGATTACATTCTCTTATTGATTTATAGATGTTTTTTTTTTCACCGGACAGTTTGAGTTTTTATAGATAAAAAAATATAAAAATATTAACGCGAGAGGCTTTTTTTACATCATAGACATAGGAAATTTACCAATAGAAAAATTCCACGAGTAACAAAACCCCATATGACAAATTAAAACCAAGTGTTTTTAGGCTATCATTTAACCAATTGAAATTAATTATATGAGTCTTTTTTTATTGTAGTGTAAATTCTCAACTTTCTCAAACAATATCATAAATCAGGAAAAGTAGAAACAAAATACAGTAAATCAACATGCATTGTCAATTTTGATATATTTGGTTATTTCTAAGTTTGATATTTTTAATATTTAAAATTTTATGTTTATCTAATTTTTATATCAAATATCTTGATTTTCATTAAAAATAATAACTAGTTTCTAAATAATATATTTTTTCTTTTTTTTTCAATTATTATTGTCAACTAAAATTGGATTAATCAAAAAATTATATCAAAATTATTTTTAAAATAATATATTTTGAAGCATTATTCAGATTCAATAGATATGTCTCTCCATAATATTTCCATTTACTAATAGAAATAAATCAAAATTTCAATTGCAGCCTCATGCATGTAAGACTGCAATTGTCTCTACTTCAACAAGCCTTTTTATTTTTATATTTACATTTGGTATCATTTAATAGATTCGAAGGCGTGATGGACCCACGACCTCTCTTTAAATGTTTAATCTAAATTTGTTAATACTTTTCTTAGAATTTATTTTCTCACACTAACTTTTATTAATATTCTACTAAAAAAACTAGCGTTATTATTCAAACCATAGATATTATGAGTATATTAATTGATAAATCATAAAATTTTTATGGTATGTTGGTGAAATCTATTGGATTCCGGATTTATAAAATTATCTTTGTGTATTCTATTAATATTGGTCGAAAAAAAATATAGTTGAGATTTTGACTATTATTATTATTATTATTATTATTCTCCATTTTCGTCTAATTATTTATTGTAAAAGGGCACCAAAAAAAAGAAAAAAATAAAGAAGAAACTCAGAGTCTGACCAGAGAGATTTGCCACTTTGTTAAAGTTTACAAATCAAAGAGTTTAAAGGCATAATTGCATGCAACAAATGGGCATGATGTGTACATATATGCATCCGTATTTAGTTTATTATTCAGAAAAAAATATAAAACTATAAAAAATATAATTTAAGGGAGGAACAAAAAGAACTATTTCTTTGTTCTTAAAAATCTCAACAGCCCATGTGATCTTTGGCTTTCTCCATAATGGAATGTCTCTAACTCAAATTAATTAGCATTCTAATAATCTTGAATGCCAACTTCAACCTCAAAATTCTTGATGTACACGAGAGCACATCCACGTTAAAACCTACGAAATAGTTATATTAGTGAATACCATATGTTACAATCAATTCATTTAAGCTATCTATAATTAAATAGTAAGTGTGCATCTAGTAAAATATGTTGTATTTAAATATTTTATGTAAGTATATATGTACATAATCTCAAGAGGTTTGTGCACCTTCTGTCATGAAAATAGGACAATCCTTCTTTCTTTTTGCTGGGTCGGTGCGAAATGCACATATAATGAGCGATTTCTGCCAGATTTCTAGGCGGAAGGGATATAAATACCGATCGAATACATCGAAATGTTAGGGATTCGAAAGCTTTTTGTAGTTATGAGACTATACAATCGAACATAACTTAAAGTGAATTGATTATGCGGGAATTCCCTAACTCTGTTGGTTGAGAGTCTTGTCCTTCTAGTTGGAGGTATGGGTTCAATCGTCTAGAGCATGAGTTTCCCCTGAACCTATCAATTTCTGTTTGTTTACATGTTCCACATGATTTGTAGGTTATTGCGTAGAACCGGTAGGTTTACTTCCGCACCCGAAGGGTCGTGATGGTAAATGAAAATTGAGTAAGTTATGCAAACTAATAAGATGTACGAGTGAGGATAAAACATAGTTAAAAAATCTCATATTGGTCGATGAGAATAGTTTCAACGTAATTAGCGTTTGCAGGGCGTTACATCAATGTTAAAATCATGTAACAAACAATTATGAATATTCCAGCATGGATTATCTCAAATTGGTTGTAATAATTAGGTTTTATTTTGAGATAACGAGATTCTACGCAGCTATTATTTGGGATTCAAAACATTCGGTTTCTCTGTTTAGTGGAGAGTTAAAATTCGGAACCGAATCATAGATCTCTTGGTAAAGATATCTGCATTCTTTATTCATCGAACAGAAAAGACAAGATTTCAAAACTACACGCACTTTCTAACATGTAAGAAAATGAACAGATGGATCTTAGCTAAAGATCCATTGATCGATCACAGAAATGATGTGACTTGATAGGAAAAGAAAAAAAAAATGCAAAAGATGGTTAATTAACAGTATTGGCGCAATCGGACAAATGGGGGTGGGGGGTCGAAACGTTACGTCGATGTTTTTGGTTTTTGATATATTTCTCCCCGAGAAATTGGATTTGGGAGAGGGAGAGAGAGAGAGAGACATACATACATACATATCTACACATACACACACCTCTCTCTCTATATCTATATATATAGAGAGAGACATAGAAACATACATACACAGAGAGAGATACACATACATATATATATACACACACCCCTCTCTCTCGATCTATATATATGGAGAGAGAGAGAGACATAGATACATACATAGAGAGAGATAGATATAGATACACAATTATACACACATATATACGTACACCCCTCTCTCTATCTATATATATATTTGGAGAGAGAGAGAGAGAGAGACAGGTGTGTGTTGTGAGCAATGGAACTTTAAATAAGAAGCACATGGGAACAAAAGATGTCTGGATTTAGGGATTGAAGAAGGGGAAATGGTGGGGACTATGCTCATATTCACCCTTACATATGGATCTCTTCCTTCCTTAATATTGTCCTAATGCTCCCACGACATGTTGGGGCCATGTGCCCCTCTCTCCTCTCACCCCGTATTTCACTTCAAACGCCCGTTTATAACCATTAATTTAATAACAACATATTACTATATAATTATTTTATAAAAAATATTAATACCTTTGGGTAACCAAATATCTTGGATGATTAATTTTGAGATCGGATACCAACAATGTGATTTTGGGATATAAAAATTTTTCAAAGTTCAAACTCGGAACGGGACAAATAATTTATGTTCCTATTTCACCGCTTGAGTTATCAAAATTTGAATTGTTTAAGACGATGTTACGAGAGAAAAATTAGTAAAAGAATCTAAAATCTTCGAAATAATAATGAATATGGACGAATCAAACGAACGGAAGAGCCTAGAGAATGTAAAGAGATAGAAAAAATGGTCTTGAGATTTGGAGAAAATATTTAATCTACAAAGTCTGATTTTTTTTTTATATATAATTCACAAATTAATTTTTTTTGTTTTGTTCTAATTATAAAAAAAAAAGTCCCTGAAAAAAAATTCTCGAGACAACCCCTTGTATTTATGCATTTTTTTTTCTTGTCTTTCTCTTTGCCGTTTGTTTCATTTTGAATGTTTGTTGAAGAAAAATGATAGAAGTTAGAAGTTGGAGATTTTATTTTTATTTAATTTTGCTTTGGTCCCCCTCTGGTCGTACAATTGCACAGCTTCTGTGGGCTATTCACATTTCGTTCCATGTATATACACGTGTTGAAACTGCATCTCCTTTTTTATTATAATTTTTCATTCGTTTCTAATATCCCAATTTTTTTTATAATAAAAAAATTAAAGCTTTCTCAAAATACCCAAACCCAAATACCTTTTAAAAGGAGTAATTTGATCTCGAAAATAAAATAAAATCAATTGAATAGCAATGATTGAAATCAATCTAGATATTTAAATCAAACGATTCATGGAAAACAAATTTAAGAAAATAAATAGTTTTTTATAACAAAAATCGAATCTAGATAGAAATACGAATGAAAGTTAAATACAACATAAATTTGAACAGGTACTATAGTTTTTGTCTATACTTTCTTTTCCAGAAGCATAATATGATTGGACTTTTATAGGTTTCATATATTTGATTTGGAGTATTTCTATTACGGTTAGTTGTGAAAGAAGTCGAATATAAATTGAAATTAAGGACAAACCACTAATATTATGGAAAAAAAAAACTCCTAAAAATTCTCAAACTTGCCATTTGGTGAAAAAATAATTTTATATTTTTTACTGTGTCTAATTATGTTTAAATTTAAAAAAATAACTTAATAATTTCTAAAGTTATTTAAAAATGTCATATTGATTTTTAACGTAAGTTGACTAAAATAATACTGTTATAAAATCATATATGACGATGATATGCAGAACCTGATTTAATAAACTCGTTTTAATAAAATCGGTTCGAAATAATAATAAATCCGGTACAATAAAAACCTAACTCTCCC